AACTTAACTGCATGTGATTAAATAAAATGTTTTGTTTCACGTCGCACTATAAACCATTATATTCAAATTTAAGCATAGACACTCAAATGCTTGTGAAGGAAACATATTCTCGATAAATTGGTTAGGATAATGGTATAAACTTTCCTATCCCTCTTTATGTCTGTCTATTATGCTTACGGTTCCTAACGCAAAATCCGATAGGCTTACAACTACAATTAATCTGTGCTACAACAAAAAGTCTATATCCTATATGATAAGTTTCACTGGTATAACTTGCTCTACCTTGCTTTACTCTGAATATCAGAATATATGTTAAAACAGAATAATGAATAATTTTTTATTTTATAAATTGAACCTTTCTTAGCACACATTTATAGATTCTTATCGGATGTTGCTGCTACAGCCTATTTTTATGACATGTCGTTCGATGAAATAAATAAAAACTATCCCAGTAATATCAGTAAAACAATTAGAGTAACTGTATACGTGTAAATACTTGTCATGTTAAGGACGGGCACCGTATGCCGTATGTGCATTTTATTTAATTTTTTCGACTCGTATACTTTAATGGATATATTAAACATTTGCCACCTGTACTTAAATGATAGACATTTCGATACAAATTTTCATTAAGATGCACGCTTACGACCAATAGAATTGCAGCATCACATGAAATACCAATGACAGATTTAAAATTTATTAGTTTTGACAGCTGCTGGGCATAGCGAATTTGTGTTCTCCCAATTCCCTTGTAAACGTATTCGTAAGATTCCAATCGGCGGTCTTTAAATTTGACAGTGATGAATGATACCGTTAAATAATATAAGAAACAACATTCTGCAAATATAACTTGATGTGATATGTGTTGTTGTGCGAGGATTTTGAAAATGAGTGGTGATCTAAGTGTGTATTTCAGTTATGTGATTTTATACGGTTCATCGATTGGTTAGAGGAAGTAATGGAGGCCTTAAGATACAGTGAGGCCATTGCCGTCAATATAAATCAAATCACAATTCGGAGGCTAAGTAGTAAGTGTTTGTTTACAATGAACCTATACCTACGTAAGGATTTCATAAACCGTCACTCGTACATATCCGTATCGTTTCCGTAAATTTCCTTCGCTGTTTACAATAAACCAAAGATCATACTACAAGTAGTATGATCTTTGACCGTACGTAACTTTGAAACATTTTCAACCTTTGCGACTATGCGCAAGACTTACATATCGCTTACGTATACGTACGTAAAAATTACGTTCATGGTAAACACCTTCGTATGTTTCTATACAGTTCAACTTTGCGAAATTTTTACGTTTTATGTATTTCTTACGTATACGTTCATTGTAACCAAGCACTAACACATAGTGGTCTAATTTACTATCCTTTGCAGTACATAAAAGACAAAAATATGAAAACACAAACTATTGTCACTAGTTCAATACTGGCGTAAGTATATTTTTACACGAACAAGGAACAAAAAAGATCATTAATTATAAATTGCTTCACTTACATTCATTGTCGGCTGTGATACATTGTTCCGTTAAATATCTAGAGCGACGTACGCCACTTACGATGAGTTGATACGCAGTCATTATTTCAGTGTTGGAAAGCATATCGTTTTCGAAGACGATTAGTAAAAATCCAATGTTGTTTGTATTCTTTACACTAAGATACTGTAACGGACGGTTACAAATTCACTCACCGTGTATTTTCGTTTTCCGGTGTCGATGTCGATATTTTGGGAACTTCCTTAATTTTTTACTTTCACACTACCAGCTAGCTCAGGTAACCAAAGGGGTCAGTAATAGGGAATAATTAAGTCAATTTTAATTTTCTCAGTTACTTAGTTAATTTCATAAATACTAGTCAACATTTTGGGTCAAGATATTACCACCGAAAGTTATACTCCAATATGCCTGGAGGGATTACGTAATTTTCATAATTCGATGTACTTTTGAAATGTTGTAGCCTTCTGCCACTGTAAGCAAAAATGAGTGATTGTGATGATCCCAATCGTAAAAGATTTACATTAATTTGAATACATTTATTCTAACTAAACACATAAATAAGGCAAAATCAATACCGTTACGATGAACCTAAAACGAAAACCTATACTTAAACTAAGTAAACATTAAGCAATCTTAATTTTGGAAATTAAAATAACACTGCAAAAAATTACGCTTATAACTTAGTGTTTTTGCAGGCAACAAAGCACGAATTAATTGTCTTTAACCTTCTTACCGGTTACCGTTTTATTTATAATTTATATTTTTATTTATTTTATATATTTATAATTCATGAGCACCTCGCATAAACAAATTAGATGCATAACTTACGTAACTAGCCACTTAAACAATAGCGCAACGGAATGTTTCGCACCTTGGACCCCAACGCTGTCGTAACAATTTATTTGAATACGAGCACCACAATCCAATAATGCACCTAAACGAAAATGTTCGCTTACGTATTAATACGGTAATGCTTCACACTGTTCACGGTTGAAAATTATATAAGCCATCCATAAGTTTTCGCTACCAGAAAAATCCCCTTGTTGCTTAAAAACCACCTTTTATTATTTGTTCTGTTCGAAAGGGCGGCTACAAAGTATTTACGACAATAAATTCTTCGAAAAATTTTTACTTAAATACCTCGCCGAATCCCAAATACAAAACGACCCTCTTTTCCTAACCGCAACTTTTGCGGAAAGCGTGCCCTCTTAACCAATACAAAATCCGTATTTTCATCAGGTTTTCGCAAAACGAAATACAACTTTTGTTATGTATTTGCACAATTAATACTGATTGCACTGCAGAAGAATAACACGTACTCCAGCAATAGTTTATTCAATACTGACTACATGTAAGTATATTATAATGACCTTGCTGATATCAGTCCATAACAACCTCCCCCTTTAAATTTCTGCCCCATACCTGTCTGGGGGTTTTAATTGTGACCGTCTTCTCAGTACCCTGTCACTTTTCTCGTCATCATCCTCTATAGGAGCTGTGACAAGACCCTGAGTAAGCCGTTCTAATTTGGGCACGTCCTCTAATAATTCATAATATTTCTTTAGTTGATCCACGTGACGTTTCCAAACTAGACCTTCGCTTGTTTTTACAATGTATGTTTGACGTCCTAATTTCTCAATAATTAATTTCAAATCTTTAGTTCTAAAATCCTTGCAATAAACGTAATCATCGACCTCAAAGATACGCTCATATTTTGGTTTACTATAATTATTACATTGTCTTAATTGATTTCCGCGAACTACCTCTCTAGTTAATGGTAACATAAGATCTAGTTTACATCTTAATTTTCTATTAAGTAATAATTTAGCGGGACATTCTCCAGTTGTAGAATGCTCCGTATTCCTATAATGAAACAGAAATCTGTTAATTATGACATTAAAATCTAAATTTGGATCCTCATGTTTAGCGCGCTTAATACAATTTTTCATTATAGCTACTGCACTTTCCGCGGCACCATTGGTTGAAGGATGGAACGGCGCACCCGTCAAATGACGAATTCCATTAAATAATTTTGGAATTCCATTGATGTAAATTGTGCTGCATTATCTGACGTGATTTCCACAGGTAATCCAAATCTGGCAAAACATTCACGTAATTTATTGATGGTTGCTGCAGTTGTAGTGCTAGTCATCTTAAAACATTCAATCCATTTTGAATGCGCGTCCTGCAACACTATAAAATTATTATTAAAGAATGGACCAAAATAATCGATATGTACACGATACCACGATTCTTTTGGCCATTGATATGGTTTTAAAAATGTTTTTGCAGGTGCTTTGCTACATTTTTGACAGGCCTCACAACTGCGTACCATCTTTTCAATTTCGTCATTTAACGAGGGCCACCAAAAATACGATCTAGCTAACGCCTTCATTTTTACCATCCCCATGTGACTTGAATGTAATTCCGTTAACACTTCTTTACGTAATTTCATTGGAATTATTATTCGATAACCCCACATAAGGCAATTTTGTTCGGTGGTTAGCTCAAGTTTACGATTTGCATATGGTTGTAATTCCGTATCCACTATCTTACATGGCCAACCCATTAATACATAATTAAGAATTTTTGATAATAACGGATCTTTACGAGTATGCAATTTGATTGTTTTCCACGTAATATTAAATTCACTTCCTTCAAAATAGCGTAAATAACTCGTTTCTGCATCTGCGTAATTTCCGTTACTTTCAACCTTAATTCTTGATCAGCTTGATTCTTATCAGAACACACATATTGAATCTCATAATCGTACATACTTAATATTTGTGCCCATCTTTGCAATCTACTTGCGGCCATCGCAGGAATGCCTTTTTTCGCTCCAAAAATGGACAATAAAGGTTTGTGATCAGTTACAAGAGTAAATTGCCTACCATATAAATATTGAGTAAATTTTTTTACTCCAAAAATAATACTAGCTGCTTCTCTATCAATTTGAGAGTATTTTTGTTCAGCGGCATTTAAAACGCGAGAAGCGAATGCAATTGGTTTCTCACTCTTATCTGGATAAACATGTATTACAGCCCCTATTGCATTTGCTGATGCGTCGCATATTAGCTTTACATTTTTATCTGGATCATAATGATCTAAAACTTGCCCTGATAACAGCATTTTCTTAGCTCGATCAGGCCCGTGCTGGGGGCCATAAGGGGGCGGAGGCCAGGTATGCCGAGGGCGCAAGGCCTGTAAAATTACGTGGTGGGGGGGGGGGAGCTCCAGCACAATGGGAACGACCAACAAACTTTTGGAAAATTACTACTTCCATTCAATTAAATTAAAAAATTACACGTTCTTTTTGTGTTTAATTTTAAGCGCATTCACCCCCATCACAGCTATAACGCAACATAACAACACTTCAGAGAAACTACAAAAAAATCATCAAATCATATGTAAGAGAAACTAAAACTAGTGCAGTCACACTGTTAAAAGTCGCGTCATTTCTGTACTTGATGCACAAAGTTTATTGATTATGAAGTCAGATTCGATGCCATTCAATATTATCTCTTTCAGTATGCATCAAGATAAATGCTTCTAAAGTTTCATTACTCATAGTTGCTCTTAGTCTAGTTTTTAGTAACTTTAATTTTGAGAACACCCGTTCGCAGGTTACCTGTGTTAATGGGATTGTCAGTAAGTATTTGTACACTTTATACAGTTCTGTGTACTGGAGACTGTACATGTTGTATTCAACTATCACATCAAAGGCGCACTTTATGCACGTATTACATTTATTTTTAACATTGCACTCTAAGAATTCAGTGTCATCGTTGTCGTAGTCACCTCCATAAGTATCAGGATTTTCGAAAACGTCAGTGGTGTAATCTTGCTCTATGGTCTTCCTACTTATAGTGGGCCAAACATTTATGAAAGATGCCATTTCTTCACGAAGTTTATCCTTGTCTAGTGAAGCAACCAACTCACAAATTTTGTCGAATGCATTTTCTGGAAGTTTTTCTATGGTTTGTGGAAATCTTTTAGGATCGAATAAGGCCAAGTCCAAGTACAAAGATTTTTGTTTCACAAATCTGTTTTTCATTGTTTGAATAACGGTATCGACAATACAGTTAAAAACATTAACTCTAAACGAACTTTCAGGAGATTCAATTCTTTCGTCATCACAAATTTCTCCAGGCATTTTGTTGACTTTCTTTAAACGTTTCTTTTTGAAATCATTTTCAATGGTCATATTGTTAAGGGTGTCCTGTTCATTAGATGCATCGACCTTTTCTTTGAACTTTAAAATAAATGTTTTAGCTGCCGTTAAAGTTTCATCAAACTTATCTCGTATTGCTATTAGTCTAATAACAGCTGACTCCACCAATCTCCATGCCTGGGCATAATCTAGGTTTTTGGTTTGGAGATAATCTGATAATGGTGTTGTAATTTTAAATATTTGAAGAAATGTCATGGCTATAACTATTGTTTCGAAGTTTAAAAATTTACCGAGAATTCCTGAGGCCTCAGCCCTCACTTTGGCGTTGAATTCGTTTGACAAAGACATGCTATGCAATGCCACAGCCAGCTCGTAAAACACATATTTTGGTGGCTGAGATTGTTCCAATACCCAGTTATCAATTCGCCCAAAGATTTTAACACAGGCATCGCTTCGACTGCGCCAGCGTGTAGCTCCAATTGCTCCCAGCTTGAAGGCTGGATTTTCTTCTTTATACTTCTGTTGCCTTTTCAACGATTCATTCAAAAAAACCTGTGCTTCTTGAAGTAATCCAAAAAATGATATCGTAGACGGTAAGACCTGTGCTGCATCGGAGAGTACTAAATTTAGTACATGTGCGTAGCACCATGTATGAATGTGAGTTGGTACTATGGCTGACAGTTTGGCAGTGAGACCATTGTACACTCCGCTCATGTTTGATGCGCCATCGAAAGCATCTGCCACGCAATTTTCTATAGAAATTCCCAATTGTTCCAGAGTTTTACTTAACGATTCCAATAGCGCTGCGGCCGTAGTTGACGTGACACATTGTAATGATAACTAACAATCTTTCAACTACTTCACGTCCATGAACAAATCGAACAACAAACGCACACTGATCGTTGCCTGAAATGTCTATAGTTGTGTCCATTAGTATCGAGTACTTCACTGCCTCCTTAATATTTGCCGATATCCTTTCCTTCATTTCGTCTCGAATGATGTTGATTATTTTCATAACAGTGTTATTACTGAGAAATGTAACAAAACCTCCTCTTCCAGCCTTCTTCTTCTTTCCAGTTTCACCCCCTCTTGCTGTTAACGATTGTTTACTTTTTTTAGTAATACTATCCAAATGATTTTTTAAAGTTGAATCATATTTTCCGAGCGGAAATATGATTTCTAAAAAATTTCCGTGATTTATCAATTCATCATCGAATGTGTGCGCTTGTTCAGTTGATGCTCGGAATGCAAGGCCCTGTTTTCCTATTAATTTCAGAACATCGACAATGACTTCTACTATATGTCTTCTTTCCATCACTTCCTTCCTCCTATTTTCCAATTGATTATTAAAAAGTAGATCACGAGTAGATTTTTTCTGCTTTGCTGCCATAAACAAAGCTCCGGACTCGGAATGCGCTTTAGAGGCTTCATGCTGTTCTATTCTCTGATGAACGTGTCTCCAATCATCAAATCCGGTGCAAAAACTTGAATTCATCTTACTATAGACCAAGCAGATGAAACAATACAACTTTTTATTTACTTCATTGTATGATAGCCACTGTCTTTGAAACGAAAGTCCATCGCCTTGTTTAATGGAGAATATTGGTTTTTTTTCTGAAAAAGGTAAATCTTCTTCCTTTGGTTGGCGAGGATGGTAAGAAAAAAACCCTGAAAGATCGTTACCCACGGGTTTTTTAAAGTAATCTACTAGGGTGTCATCAGAATCCGACACAGAAACAGATTGTGATACTTCTACGTCTACCTCTACATGACTTAATTTAATTCTTGATGGTGGAAAAGTGTTTTGTTCACAAGAAACGTCTAATGCTGGAATAAGATCTAGATCTATTGTAGAACAAGCAACTGTAGTTTCACTTGTAACAGATAATATTCCGCTGACGCTAGGTTTGGGAATGAGATTTTCTTCTTTTCCTTGAACAGTATTTGAGGGAAGGTTGGTCCACAAATTGGTTAATTTATTACAGCTTTTGGCCGATTGATGCAATTCTTCTAACCTTTTGCGTTTTCGAAATTCACAACCACTCTTTTTCCTTTTCTTATCTTCCATGCCTTTCTTCTTTCTCTCTAAACAACTATCATATTGTTCGATATACCGTTATTGACTAACCTACCAACTTACCCTCTTATATTTCACTACGTACGACGCCACACAAATTACAAGAACAAGAACAACAATAAGCACTTCTCTATACGTCAATACACCATGCAGCAAGCAGCAAAACTCCACTAGTACATCTATACCACACAAAAAAATATCGGATTTGGCGAAAAATTATCGTAACGTAATACTTTATTTTTTTTCAGAAGCACAGATAAAGATAAATGGGTGTTTCATCTGCACCATCATAAGTGAAAAGTACTGCATCTGCAGTTGTCGTTTTGTTAAATAGAAATCAAACACAATGACACCATCCAAATCCAATTTCAATGACGAAATAGTGTCATTATTCGTCTAATAATGTTACATGCATTTAAGGTGTTAATTAAAAATGCATTAATTAAACTTACCTTGGCCTTGACGCACATGCAGTTGCAATAGCAAAACAATAACAAACTAAACAAAGCTAACATACACGCGTGCACTTTAAACTTGAACTTGAACTGAAAGAATTAAATATAAAATAATCCTACTGCAGAAGTAAATGGGGCAAGGCAATGGCATGATCTTATATCAGATTTTATAAATGGATATGAATAGGGAGTCCTTAGATTATATTTCACTACTAATCATGTGCGAATACGAGTAGGTACTATAAAAAACAATTCTTACTTTGTCTTGTCTGGTGTCATAATCATTTATGTACACTACTACAAAATGATGTAAAGCAAAACGGTTTATCTTATCACAGGTTAAATAATTTCCGGTGTAATTCAAATTGAAAGTGGTATTTTTTATTTTTATGGGTAGTAAAACAAACAAACACTGCATACTTTGTGTCAAAAAGTAGGTAGACAATGCAAGCGTTGTAAAAGAGTAATCTAATAGTAATCTCTTAATGATTTCTGCCGAAGCGAAGCAGACTTTTATGAAGTGCTCTTTGTATTCTTATTTACTTTTGTTTAATTTAGTAACACACGATTAGTAATAAATTGTTTAATGTTTTGCTCAGTCTTACTTAGGGCGCTACTTACAAGGGCGCAGGGGGATATGTCCCCCTATCCCCCAGGGCCAGCACGGGCCTGAGCTCGATCGAACGCATTTTGACAATCCTCACTCCAATTCCACTTACAGCCTTTTTTTAACAATTGGTACATTGGATACAATATGGTAGACGCCTGTGGTATAAATCTGCAATAAAAATTTATCATACCTAAAAACGACTTTAATTGTGTCACTGTATTTGGAATTGGCGCGTTCTGAATAACGCAAATTCTTTCATTTGACATGTGCAGTCCTTCACTATCAATAATGTGTCCTAAATAACTAATGGAGTTTTGGAAAAATTTACACTTTTCTTTCCGCGCGGTTAATCCGCTTTCCTGCAACTTCTCTAAAACTAAATTGAGCCTCAAAAAATGTTCATGTTCGGTCGTCCCGGTAATTAATAAATCGTCTAAAAAACATACTACTCCCGGAATGCCTGCAATTAAGTTATCCATTAGTTTTTGAAATAACGCCGGTGCATTACAAATTCCAAATGGAAGTCTAGTTACTTTAAATAGCCCCTTATGAGTTGAAATTGTAACTAATTTTTGTGATTCCGGTGATAACCTGACCTGCTGATAAGCATCTGATAAATCAATTTTAGAAAATTGTTTACCGCCCCGCAACTGTTCAAAAATGTACTCAATTCTGGGAAGTGGATAAACGACCTTTTCATGCACCGGATTTAAAGTTAATCTATAATCCCCGCACAACCGTATTTTATTATTCGGCTTCATTACTACCACGACCGGCGTAGCCCACTCACTATTTTCGACAGGCACTAACACACCCCGATTTTGTAACCTTTCCAGTTCCTCTTCCACTTTACTTTTAAACGCAAACGGCACTGGTCTTGGTTTAAAATATTTAGGTTGACAGTCACCCTTGATTTTTAAATCAAATTCGCCCTTTTTAAATGTTCCAAGTTCGTCCCGAAACACACTTTGAAATTTCACCAAAATATTATCGACATAAGGTAACGTTAAATTATGAATATTTGCAAATCCCAGCCGCAACAATCTCAACATTTTTCGCCCTACTAGTGGTGGACCTCCATTTCTTACGACGTAAAAATGCACATTTTCAAATGTTTGATTTTTATATGTAACGTTACACCCAATTTTCCCGATAGGTACAATATTATTCAAAACATAATCCTTTAAAATTAAATCGTTTTGGATTAATTTCCGATAAGCAAACAATTTATTATACAGATTTTCCGAAATAATCGAATGCTGCGAACCAGAATCAATTTCAAAGTTAACAACTTGGTTATCACATTTCAGTTCTAAACAGAACATCTTATCGTCTCGGGCAGTTCTCATTTTAAAGAAAAATTCCTCCTCCGTCACCTGTTCACTTGTATCACTATCACTAGCAACATACTTTTGTGTGGATACCTTCTTTGTCTCGCACATGGAAGCAAGATGACCTTTCACACCACAAATATTACACGTGTAGTTCTTGTATCTACATTTCTGAAATGCGTGATTATTACGGCCAAAAACCTTACACTTTAAATTAGTATTTTCTGGAGAATTTTTAGAATTTCCCGTCGGTTGCCGCCGTTTCTGCGATTTCATTTTATGCACCGCCACTTCGGCCTTAGTGGATACACTTGGTTCTTCTGCAGGAACATTCACCTGATCTCTGGTAATTGCTTCTTTATTTTGTGCTATTTTGACCATATCATCCCAAGTAGCACTGGAAGCATCCTCTTCAAATAGGCGCTCCATAATTACACCCGGTTCCAAGCCAATTACAAACTTATCAGTTAGAATTACTGCTAATTCTGTACCGAATCCACATGAAGCAGACAAACTTCTTACCCTAGCTGCCCATTCAGCTACTGTTTCTTTTGAAGTTTTTCGAGCACTGTAGAATTTGTAACGAGCGGCATATAATGCACGCACTGGAGTTAAATGCTTTTTGAATATTTTAATCAAATCGGCATATGTTTTTGATTCAGGTTGGTCCGGAACACACAAACTTCGGATTAATCTATAAGTGTTTTCCGCAAAACAATTTAACAACACCGCACGTTTGCGTGTGTCACTGCTGATTTCGTTTGCGATGAAAAACTGTTCCAATCGCGACAGAAAAATTGAAAAATCACTACTTTCATGATTAAATTCAGCAACTGTGCCCAACAGTCCCAACATTTTGAACAACCGTTTGAACCTTACTTGCTGCTGGGTCCGGCATAATTAATTAATTATGTAATTAACCAGTGTCCAGCACACGATGCACCAACAATCCTCGTCGCCACTGTTACGTATTTGCACAATTAATACTGATTGCACTGCAGAAGAATAACACGTACTCCAGCAATAGTTTATTCAATACTGACTACATGTAAGTATATTATAATGACCTTGCTGATATCAGTCCATAACAACTTTTGAGGTCTGTGAGATCAGGCAACACTGTGATGTTTCGACTCTTATCTACTTGAACATTTGTTTCTTATCTTAACGCGCTTTATTTTCTCGAATATAAGTTCTGTTCTCTTTCCTTATGAAGCGGTAAAGGTATAAAATTTCCTATACCGGCAAATTTGTGAATTCCACAACAAATATTTGAAGCCTAATTATGACCCCATGGAAATGATCTTAATTTACTCTGCTGAACTTCATTCTACATGAATCCGTGAAATTCGAAGAACTTTCACGTGCCCCCGTTCTACCAGGACCGAGTAACCCTGCAGAACTTATATTACATCATTGGAAGTGCCGCAAAAAAAGCGTCAAAAGCTAGAAGAAAAACGTAAGAAACAGGCAGAAAAGGAAGAACGAAATAGCTGTCGAAATTATACTAACAGTCGAAATATTTACTTTTGAAGCTGCTGCAATACGCTACAATAAATCAAAGTTATTTGTTGTTCAATAACCGAAAATAGACATCCCTTCCCTGTATTCATGTTCCTTTTCAAAGTAATTGATTGTTAGCCACTAATAAATAATAATATAAATGCGAAAAGCATTGAACAGCGGAATTTTGTCCAGAAAAGAACAGTTTGAGTGCCAAATATAGCTTTAATCGTTATACTTTTGAAACTGGGCAGCTATAGGACTTTGTACGATTTGATTCTCAACGTTAAATAAAAGAACGGCACAGATTCTAAATTACTAAGTAATTGATATTACCGTAGTAAAGATAAATTGCTTACACCGATGAAAGAAGTTACTGAGACTTCTAAATTATACGTTACCATTTGGTGGCAGGTGGTAACCTTGCCATCGTGAAATACCTTTTTATCTAGTTCGGTGCTTTCCTCCGATTTCGGAGGGCTATTTACATGAAGCAAAACAGTTTCCTCGAATCTCCTCCACATCTGTACTATACTTTTCAATTTTGTTAAAGGGTAGATTCAATTAGGAACAAACAGTTTGCAGTTTAATGTTTCATTGCAGATGGCACCATTGTTTCCAGTCAGATATAATTTCGAGACTGATTAATAGCAATAAACGTTTGTTAATTACGAATTATCGACAATCCATCCAGCGATGTGTAAACTGATACATTCTGGGCCGGATAAGCTGTTTAATTTGCATTATTTTGCGACACCAAAGATTGTATGAACAGAATTCGTTTGGCCTAAAAACCACGCGATTCCAGTTAAATGCCATGGCAATTAAGTGCTAAGACTCGGAAAGGTACTCGGTGAAAAGACAAAGATTGTGGTAGGTTTGACAATTTACATCTGACGACATCAGTTTAATTATCCTTAGACTACTGACTTGCCCGGTTACAACAGGAACTCCACCCCAAAGCTTATTAATATTTCTCTTTGATATGGGTTCTTTGTAATTAATCACAAATGTAAAGACAAAGATGCCAAGTATAACGGAACTTGGAAACATACACTTGTTAACACATTAACAACTTGTTGATTGTTATCTTTATGGATTACACAGTTTGTAGTTAAACATCAAAGGTTTACATTTGTGAAAATTAATTACTTGTATGCGGAGTTTGAAATGAACATCATATCCATAATTTCTAGTTTACATTAAACAACAGATTCACAACTTATTTTGTCTATCCTCCTCAAGGTGGAATATATATTAGGATGTTGGGGATGTATTTACGATTTATAACAGTCTGTTCAATTTACTCTACTCCACGTTTCAGAATTAATACAGTGTCAAGTCGTTTCACGGAAAACCGTAAATATAATATTTCTCAAATTATACGTGTTTAAATATCCGTTTTAGCTCTCAGTAATTACGAGTACCTACAGCTATACCTTATTTTCACATGTAATGGGCTAATTACGCGCTAAAACGCTACATACAACTATGACAGGATGCGGACTAATTAACGGAGGGGTCGGGATAAATAATAGACAAAAAGTGCTCTTCGAATTCCTATTGTTTTGTTGGGGAAGATCGCTGGAGGACAATTGCTTATCATAAAAGGCAAATGTTGTTCTATTAAGCTCTCTCGGGATCTGCAAATGATTTTGTCAAAAGTCAAATCCATGTTCTAGATTAGGGTGCGTTTTGAACTCGCAATGCTCACTGTTATATTGCAAAATAAAATTTGTGTTGATCCACAGCGGTCCAGTATTTATTGATAGGGGATTAGGCTTCTAGAACATCACAATAACTATTTCAGTCAAAATAGGCAAACCAGAGGAACTAAAAATACTGTGTCCAATTTTTTCAGGAATGTGTAGGGGGAGGTCCCCTGAACAAGAAAAAATAAAATCCCTCCAAATTCCGGTGCCGTTGGGGGGAGGGAGTGGACTTTAAATAATCAATTTTTCAGTTGTTCGCTTATAACTCGAGAACGGTGCGTTGCAGTGAAAAAGTTCTTCAGTACAAAATGATCCGGAAAGATGTTAATTTTCAAAAAAAATTGTTTTTCATTCATGTTTTTCGTATATTTTTGTGTTCAATTTCATTGTACACAAAAATGTTCACAAGATTATTCTGTTATCTGGGCGTC